AATTACAAGGATCTACATGTGACCTCCTCCCTGGGGGATGGACAACAGAAAAGTGGGTGAAGTGAGACGTTGGACAGGGCAAGGTATGACAAAATAATAATTTATAATTATCGAGGGCTCATGAGGGAGGGGGGAGCGGGGAGGGAGCAAAAATGAGAAGCTGATGCCAGGGGCTTAAGTGGGGAGGTAAATGTTTTGAGAATGTTGAGGGCAATGAATGCGCAAATGTGCTTTACACAATTGATGTATGTATGGATTGTGACCAGGGTTGTATGAGCCCCTAATAAAACGATTAAAATAAAAAAAAACTCTCTGACATCAGGTCGATTCTAACTCATACCGATCCTATGGGCAGGGTAACTAAGCTCTCTGTGAGTTTCTAAAACTACAACTCTTTTTTTTTTTTTTTGAGGAGTAGATGATTTTTAATCTGAGAATTTCTCCATAGTTTGAAACCACATGGGGAACCTTAGGGGTCACAGTCATCAGTGAGTGGGGTATCTCCAGATGTGTAACAGATGCCCACAACTAAACCTATCCATGCGCGAAGGTTAAGTACACACCACCCTTCCACTCAGGATGCTTCTCTAGAGGAGTCCATGAGAAGTTAATCACTGGTGTCTGGCTTCCTTTGCCTTTCTCATTTTATCCTCAATCCTCTTGTAGCACAGGAGGCATAAAAGTAACGAGAAAGCATGCAACACGGACAAGAAGACAAAATCAGAGTTAAGGGCAAATGTTTAACAATCATGTTCAAACACCCACCACTGGATGAAGAGTTCGAGGTGCAAAGAGCCAAATATTCCCCTTTCTTGGGAAATCTCCCTTCGCTTGAGTTCCTAGTGAATATTTCCACATTTCACTTTGTTGCCACAATCGATGTGGGGATGTATTTTTAGGTATTGATTTCTTGCTAAGAGATTTTAGTTAGAAAGCTTTTAGAAATACACGCGAGTGCACGCACACACTCACTTGCGCACACACACATACTGCCCGAGCAAGGAGCCAGGTGTCAGTTTCCGATGGGGGGCATGTTCTCATGCAGGTACTGTCAGGCCAAGTCTGTCCACTTCATTTCTTGTTCTTTAACAGATGCTGTGGTGCCACCATTGTCTTGCTCAGGTTCAGGAAGCTCGTTCAGAGGTATTGCAACATCTTCATAGGGCAGCTTGTCTGCACGCCAAGCATCGCCAATCAAGTCCAAGATCCTTCCATCTCTCTGCACCTCACTGTCCATGTTCTGAGATCAGCTCCAGGGCCGCCGCTCCCGCCGAGCCACACCCTCTGCGGTACGAGCCCGCTCAGGCTTCAACGACAACTCTTCATGGGAGTAGAAAGCCTGTCTTCCTCCCATGGACCCACTGGTGGTTTCGAATTGCTGACCTCATAGTGAGCAGCCTAATAAGTAACCACTACACCATTAGGACATCATCAGACTGGAATAAAGTGGGTCCTAATCCACTATGAGGAGCCCTGGGTGGGTGATGCACTAGGTGCTAACTGCGAGGTCAGCAGTTCAAGACCACCAGCCCTCCTCGGGAGAAAGAGGCAGTTCTACTCTGTCCTACAGGGTTGCTATGAGTTAAAATGGACTCAATGGCTGTGAGATTCCAATACGAAGAAGCCCTGTTGGTGGAGTGGGTTATGCGTTGGGCTGCTGAGGGGGACGAGCCTCCCCAAAACCGAATGGGTCTGTGGGGCGGTCGTGTAATTGAGAGGTAAATTAAAGAGATATCAGACAAGGTAAAGCACACAAGGGCTCACCTCCTCAGTCACGACTTCAGGAGCCAGGTCCGAGCACAGAGGGTGAGCAGTGTAATCTCACGAGTTTATATAATGTGGGGCACGCACATATGTACCAGGAAGGGGTGATACAATAGACACACACAGGAGGGGGACGAGCTAGGGGTGTGCGCAATAGGAAGGGCCGGCACTAGAGCAGGGGTGCTCAATAAGTTGATCGGTCTACTAGCCGATCACAAATGTAGTGTGGGTCAATCGCATGGCATTAAAAACAATAGATGTAAGCTTATCATCAACCCCATCACTTAATTGATACACAGCGCAGCCAATCCAATGCAATCTTAGGTGTCAAACTTAAGCAATCCGATGCAATCTAAGACGGCAATCTTAGTTGCTTGCATGCGCAAACAACTGCAGTACTAAGTGCAGCAAAATTTACAAGCTTTGTTATCCCCAAGTTTTGGACCTTGTTTTTTTCTCTTAAACGTAAGAAAGGGTATTAAAATGAGTGGGGGAGCTGGACCAAGAGACAAAGACGTATCACTTTCATACAGAATGGGAGATTTTGACATTGCAAGCTGACATTCATTCAGCTGAAGTCCAGAGCGCATAAATGTGCTACCTCCTTGACTGCTTTATTCGGCTCTACTTATTTATGTGAGTCAGCCTTTTCCCACATAAAGATCATGAAGTCCAAGTACCGTTCCACCAGGACTGATGACCATTTGGAAGTGTGCTTGAGGCTGGCTGGCAGCAGCCACTTTCTGGGCTATGCGTCCCTGGCTCATTCCATTCCGCGCAAGTCATCAGAGTAAACTCAGGGAATGACCAAAAATGTATATAGTTAATTGTGTTCTGTTGTGCAACATGGACTCATGCGGTTATGCAAGGTACATAAATATACATTGTACATATAGAGTTCGCAATGCATTTATGAATAAATGTAATACATAAATAAAAATAAATATATGTTTTGCATTTTTGTCATTGGTAGATCATTGTGACTTGATCATTTTATAAGTAGTTCGCATGCTGAAAAAGTGTGAGCTCATGTGACAAGAAGACACATGTGGAGCCAGGTGGGTGGATGTTAGAGTCAAGTTGGTTTGACTTTGAGTGTCTTTGGACATCCATTCAGGGGAACAATCCATTATCCTTATCAGAAGAGAGTGGGTCCTACTTAGGGTGGGACAGACAATAGGATCTGATTGCCTTAGATGGCTGATAACCTTCTGGCAGATAACCTTCAAGCAGTTGACCTCCAAGTCTAGAGTCAGTGACCATGTGTTTGCAAACAGCCCCTTAAATTTGGCATTAAGGGGGAACATAGTGGGGAATAGCTTTTAGTTAGGAGAATGTGAGTGGGACGCCTCTCTAACCCAAGAACGTGAAGGCTTCCTCCATGGGAGCCCTGGCCTCCCAGGCTCCTTAAGGAATGAATGTTGAGAGTCTGTCTGCAGACACTCTCTTCCTGGTTGTCTCTCCCACAGGCTGCTAACCACCACATCAATAGTTGAAACCCACCTGCCCCTTCTTGGGAGAAAGATGTTGCTGTCTTGCCCCATCAAGACTGGCAGCCTTGGAAAGCTATATAGAATCGCCATGAGTCGGAATTGACCCAGTGGCTGTGAGGGGTCTAATATGAATGCTGCCCAGCTAAGAGAGAGCAAAGATGCCAAGATGGAGCGGCAGAGAGGGAAACACACCACGTGGAGATGGAAACAGATTTGGAGCGCTGCAGCCACAAGCCAAAGATGCCCCCCATCAGGACCAGAAGCCAGGAGGCAGGCACGGGGCTGATTCCTCTTCGGAGCCTTCTAACTAAAGAAACTCGACACAGTCAACACCCTGATGTTGGATTCCGAGCCTCCAGAACGGTGACACAATCCAGTTTGGTTCTCATACACTGCCCAATCGGTGGGACTTTGTGATGACAACCCTGGAAGATGGGTATGCAGCCAATCTCTCTCTCATCATGTCTTCTGGCAGTGACAAGAGATGAGCCTCCACCCCATCCCTCAAGAAGCCTTGGGCCTGACTAAGCCGTGGGAAAGGTCACCTCAGGGAACAGGGTCACAGGACCTGCCCACTCCATGCAGGAGCACCCGTGTGGCCTCGAATCAGACAGTACAAGGAAGGGTCACAAGGGTGTTCCCACAGTACGGGTCTCTCCTCTTTCCCCCTCTCAGAACCTGGTGAAGTTTTCTGGGGACCCTGATGTCATACTGTTATGAATTGAATTGTGTTCTCCTTCTCCCTGTTCCTGCCTCTACACCCCCCCACCCCCCAAAAAAGGTGTATTGAAGTCCTAACCTCTGGTACTTGTGCACATGACCTCCTCTGGAACAGAGACAGCTTGGCACCAGGTGATCAGGGCCCGATGAGCAGGCCGGGCCAGCCAGTGATAAGGAGGGGAGGGCCATACCTTGGGTGGTGTACCGAAAAACACCCATCTCACTTTTCTGGTAACTGCTGGGGAAAAACAGCTCCCTTATACTTACCTGGCAAGGGAGCTACCATGATCACAAAGGTGGTTTTCCCAGGGCGAGGCTCACCCACTGCACTCTGAGTGTGCTGACCCCCTCCATTTCCCCAAATGTGGAAAACTTGACTGCGTAATTTGTGGTAGTGGGGGACTGTGTTCGCACTCCCCCCTTAAAAAAACAAGCAACCCACACACTCCCATTTTTCTCTTCTCTGACCCCAAATTGTAAGGATCAGTTCAACTACTCAGTGCGGTCCCCACTCTGTTCTAAGCACAGACAGGAGGTCCTCAACCCTGACCTCCCTGAGCTAACAAGGTCAGAGCCCACAGCTAAGGAACAAGGCCCAGGCACCAGCCACAGCTTGCGCGTCTCAGGACACCCTCAGTCTCACCTGCTTATTATGCATTCAGGGGTTCTTCTATCCCCTCGGCTATGAGTCAGACGGTCAGGGTACCCAGGCCCCCTCACTTCTGTCCTGCTGGCTCCCCGTGTTCTCCCACATTTGACAAGTCGCTAAAATGACTTGGTAGATTCATCGGGTGGGAAATACCTCTGTCCTTGGCGTTGCACAAGAAGAGATCACACCGAAGCCTGGTTTGTGATCCAAGTGAGTTTTTATAAAGGAGATAAATTTCAGGTGTTGCAGTTAACTGAACACAGGACTGCACCCCCCACACTTGTGGCAATCTGAGGCGGGAGATGGGAGAGAGGGGGGAGGGAGGGAGGGGGAGAGAGACCACAGCAAGGCCAAGCAGAAGGCAGATGAGCTGGGGGTTGTGGGGTGTGGGTGTGGGTGTCTCCAGGTTCTGGCTGTTAGGGCCTTCTGTGCGAGACGAGACGTGGTTGATGGTACTGGTTGACCCCCATTGGTGAGTGGAGTG